TTTATCATCGACTTATGCAATTAAGAATTATTCTTGTATGTAGTAATGAGATTTTCAACTTGAATATGTCTAAACTTTTATTTCTTTTTACTATATATGTTATTTTGTGAAGTATATAATTTAAATGTTCAAAATAGTACCCGTATTTTTTGTCCGAATTTTTGTAACAGATACCGTATTATACACATATACGTATGAACACGTTTTTTTAAAAGTCAACGTTTTTTTGAACGTATTTTGACCGTTTTTTCATTAATGTTACCGAATAAAACGCGTACGTATTAAACCTCGTTTAATTCTCGTACCGTATTTAACTAATTATGCCTGAGACAGAGGCTATGGGGGTTCGTGATGCTTTGGTGACAATAGTGGAGGAGGGCTAGCAGCAGGTTGAGATTGAGACGGATTCGCTATCGGATGTGCAAGGAATAAAAAAGGGAGAGGGATCTTCATATTTGCATCTTATTATTGATGATATTAGGAAAATTCTTGAAACAAAGAGTAATTTTATCATCTCTTTTTGTAGACGGTCTGTGAATCGTGCTGCTCATACTCTGGCAAGGGCGCATGTTGGTATCTCAGATCAGAGGATTAATTATGATGATGTTCCTCATTGTATTGCTAGCCATTTGGCTAACGATATGTTGATTTAATACATTATTCTGTTTTGATGATAAAAAAATTAATGACGAAAGGAAAAAAAGATTGACTCCGGGGTAATCAGATTTCGGGGCCGATTAGGCTTAATCTCATGAAAATTATTTAATTGAGCAACACATGTCAATAAGTTCTTACCGCTCTCGCAGCGTAGAGTACAATAATTTAGAGAACCAGACGATCTCTCATGCGACAAGTTCTTAAATTATTGCCAAAGCGAGCTAGCTTACAGCTCCCTAATCGTTACTAATCTCTTAATTTACTCTATGTGCAATTATAGTCCTTGCAACTGTTCTAGGTTACAAAAGATTTCAATTAAATTATTTAAACACAAATTAAATAAAAATCATGCAATTAAACCATCAAGAAATTAACCCTAGATCGTAATTAACTCTTTCATCAATCACAAATCCCTAATTAAAACTACCCACAATTCATAATTGAATTAACAATGTAATTGAGAAGGAAAGATGAATTAATTATCATTAATTAAAAAGATTGAACTTACAAATAATTCCAAAATCTTGACCAATGGAGACCCCCACCGAAACTACAAGATGGACTAATTGGACAAAAAAGTTGCATCTTCTTTAAATCCTTCATACTTGTTGTGAGCTTCTTCATCACGCTCGTTAAAGTGTCCACTCATGCATACAAGGCTAGACTTTCACTGAGCTTATATAGGCCCGAGGATTTTAGCTGGGCAGAACTCCTGGAATTGTACGAGGATGCATTGTTGGGCAATATCTTCTCAATCAGTGCTTCTGCACCTTCAGCTGGCAGATCAGGAAAAGATCCATTTGCAGAAGCAACCAACATCATCTTCCCTTCATCGTTGATAGCACTGTAGAAAAAAGATACGATCTCACAATTATTCATATTACCTTGAAGATAAGCTTTTCTCAGCACCTTGAACCTCTTCCATGCTTCAGACAGAGACTTCAATGATCCATGTTTGAACTCTTGCAGTTGCTTCTTCAGTTTCAATGCCTTTGATGTTAAGAAATACTTCGTATTCTTTAATGAAGGCATTGTGCAGCTGATCCAAAGTCTGGAGATGGTGATGTGGATTGCTATTCGACTAGGGGTGGGTTCGGTTCAAACGGTTCAGTTTTCACCTAACCAAATGTCGAACCAAAGTAAAAAGTTCGGTTCGGTTCAATTTTATGTTCAAAAATTTGGAACCACGGTTTGTTCGGTTCAGTTTATTTCAATTCGGTTTCGGTTTTTTCGGTTTTTACCAAAATATTTTTGTTGGTTAGAAAAATAGTAATTGGGAAACAAAAACAAAAAAAAACTATATCAAACTAATATTAATAGTTATGCAATACAAAAACATACATAATTAAAAAAAGAGAAGAAACAAATGCACGTCCAAGCAATGAATTAGAGAGTACGTGTATACCGATTTAAATATTTTCTAAATTAATTAAATGGGTGAGTTTATTTGTGAATTATATACGGTGTATTCGCAAGTTAAAATTTTATTAGTAAATAACTCATTCTACTTTCCTTTTAGAAAAAGATATTTATACTCTAAAGTTTCACATTTTCTGCGATGTTGTTTAAAGTATAGTTTATATTAAATACATATGTGTTCAACAAAATATCATTGTCATGCAACAACAAACAAAATGTAAATAAAAATTTAAAATATCAAAATATTAGTATTATATCAATAGACTTAAGTGTAAGTACAACTGTTTCATTTAATTAAACCATAAATATTAAATATAAATATCAAATCATAATAAATGTAGTATCAAACATTAATTTTCTAGAATTAAGAATTAAGAACCAAACAAAATTTATACATAATGATTAATAAATAAATCAACTAGTTTTAAAAAGTTCAGTTTATTCGCTTCAGTTTGGTTTTGAGATGTGAAAACCAAAACCGAAACCAAACAACTATGGTTTAGTTTTTTGAGTTTGGTTTCGGTTTTCTTGTGGTTTCGTTGTTTTGGTTGCGGTTTGGGTTTTTTCAATTCGGTTTTCGGTGTTCGGTTTCTCTGACCCACCCCTATACCCAACCATCTATGTGCATCATCCCTCAATGAGAACGGGAAAAGCATCATCCTCACTTGATCATCAGCGACCCCTCGAATCTTGAAAGTCTGGCACATCCTGAGAAATCGGGTAATGTATGCCACATGGTCTTCAGTCGGCCCTCCTCCAAATTGGTTGTTTGAGACCATGCTAATCACCGCCGGCTTTATCTCTGAGTTGTTAGCAGTAATGCCAGCTACATGGATGATGAGATGCTATCATACTCTGAAACTTTAGACGTAAGGTATTCTGCTATGGTTTGCCCTTGGTAGAGAGAGCTGTTGTGCGAGATATAGGCTTGGAGTGGGGGAGGTTGTTGTCTTGGCCCATGGTGTGGTGTCTGGTGCATGTGAGAAATTTGGTACTGATTATGGAAAGGATTGGTGGGCAGACGCTACGTATTTAGCAAATTAAGATTTTGAAAGTTCGGGTTCTGACGTTTTGGCCAGCTCCTTGTAATCCAGCGGTTGGATTTTGGAAGGGAATTTCTGGAGTAGTGGTGGTATTTTGGAAAAGCTGATATAGAGTAGGAAGGTTAAATTGTGCAGTTTGAAGGTTTTGAGGAAAGTTAGGAGGAGGGCACTCCACCAGTGATGAAAGTGGTGGAGTGTCCTGTGGAGAGGTGTTGACGTAGAAGTCAGGATGAGTGGTGGCTGGGGTGGTGGTGATTGAGACACCAGATACCCCAGCTGTACCGGATGAGGAAGCGTTCATGTTCACTTTTTTTGTTCTCTTTCTGTGTTCTCATGTTCTGTCTGACTAGCTCCTCAATCTCAAGATTAAGAGAGACAAATGGTTCTCCCCTCTTAAAATGAGTATGCATAAAAATCTAACTTGCATGGCTAGAAGACAGAAAAATCCAACGAAAAAAATAAAAACTAAAAGAGAATATTACCCGAAATAGGACTAAAAAGGTTTGAAAATTCCAAAATATGACTGCCATGTTTTTATTCCAAAATAGGACTAATTATTGTCATGTTTGGCAGTACCAGACTTCAAACATGACAGTATTTTCTAAATTTGGCAGTAATTACTCCTATTTTTTGGAAATAAAAGACATGACAATCCTATTTTGAAACTTTCAACCGGTTTTAGTTCTATTTCGGGAAGTTTCCCAAACTAAAACTAGTCGCTGAAAATAATCAACCCTTAAAATCGACACGTCCCCGGCAACGACGCCAAATCCTGATGTAAGTTTTCTCGCACTTAATTAAAAAGATATACTCCGTAGTAATATAGGTTTTTAGTATGAGTATCATCTCCACAAGTACGGAAAAAGAGATTCAAATATTAATTAAATTCAGCGATTTAAAATATATAAAATAAATTCGAATGTGCGAGATTTGGATTTTTTAAAAATTAATTAATCCGAATAAATAGCTAAATTAAAGGTTCTATCTAATTAATGATGAAAGGGAACATGTATTGACTACGAGGAAATTAGATTTCAGGGCTCATCATGCTTAATCGCATGAAAATTATTTATAAGCAACACATGTCAATACTGAGTTCTTATCGTAGCGTAGAGTATAATAATTTAAAAATTATTTATAAGCAACACATGCTCTCGCAGCGTAGAGTATAATAATTTTGAAAACTAGGCTAATCTCTCATGCGACAAGTTCCTAAATTATTGCCAAAACGAGCGAGCTTACGGCTCCCTAACCGTTACTAATTTTTTAGCGAATGATTAGGTGTGTACGAAAGTGTTCTAGAATAAATTAGGTCTATCTTAATTTACTCTATGTTACAAAAGATTTCAATTAAATTATTCAAACACAAATTAAATAAAGATCATGCAATTAAACCATCAAGAAATTAACTCTAGATCATTATTAACCCCTTCATCAATTCCAAATGCTTAATTAAAACTACTCACAATTCATAATTGAATTAACAAAAAATATGAGAAGGAAAGAATTAATTGTCATTATATAAAATAATTGAACTTGCAAAGAATCCAAAATCTTGACAATCCCAGGCTAAAAAGCTCTCAAAATTTCATTTTAGAGTTTATCTCTCTAAACTCATGTTTAAAAGAAGATGAAAAGAGACTGAATTTATAGAAAATTGCAAAAAATGACCAAAATTGTGTCGCACATAGGGGTGGTTCGGTACAGTATACCGAATATTTTCTCTCATACCTTTGTCATACCAAAACTTTCGGTATGAAAAATTTATATACCGTTACCTTACCGAAGTTTCGGTATACCGCATTTTGATATACCGAAGTTTCGGTTCGGTAACGGTATGGTATCGGTAAATTACCATGCATGTCTCCCTGATGGATTATAGGGTATCCAATCTTATATAATTAGGAGAGATTTGAGCTAAAGATAGTGAAGAAGATGAATGAATAGTAGAGTGTGAATGAGTAATGTTCTAGAGTTACAAATGGCTCCAAGAGGAGTATAAATAGGGAAATAATGGGCCGGGCCGCTAATATGGGCCCGGTAGCCCAACTACATAAAAGACTAATCTAGTACATAGTTACATACAAATGACATATAAGCAGTACAATAATACAAATGATATCCGTAAGATGTGTATGGGCCGCTGTCCGGGCCCAATAGTCGTGAGACCCGGGGGTCCGAGTCTATATACTCTATCAGGAGTCCCCCACTCTCTGAGTCGAGAGTATTCGAGGCGAAAGAGAGTAGAACTGTGTGCTGATCTGTCGCCGTCTGGTGAGTAAACTTCATGAACAAAAATTTGAATTTCTGCTTCTTTGGTTAACGGAGGCGCTAAGTCCCCCGCTCTTCCAGTCCCCCACTCCTTGAGGCGAGTGTAATGAGGTGAAGAGGAGTAGAGTAATGCGTGTCGGATGATGTCTTCAACAGGGGGCCGAGGGTTGACACCTTTTGATCCACGATGGGGAGATGCCTCGTTAAAAACCTCATTAGGAAAAACCCTGTGGGAAAAAATCCTAATGAGGGAAAAAGAGTACACCGGATGCCCCCAAAATGAAACAAAAGGTGCGAACCCTTCGGCCTGGAGATGGAGCTGCAGCGGTGCCCATCTGCTGGGGCGATGGTCGAGGCCGATCTCTAGATGTGGGTAGCTCATCATGATCAGTAGTCCTAGTCATCAAATAAAGATGACTAAGGGATGGGTCGAGCGACCGTCCACAATATGATGTCTGGTTCATCAAATAAAGATGACCAGAACGTAAGGCCGATGGGCCGAGAGGCCTGTACGAGAGCTCCATGTTGTCGAATAAGGAAAACGAGGCGATGTATGGCCGAGGGGCCTGCATAAGAGCTCCACGTCGTCAAATAAAGACGACGGGGCGATGGTGCGGCCGAGGGGCCTGCATAAGAGCTCCACGTCGTCAAATAAAGACGACGGGGTGATGGTGCGGCCGAGGGGCCTGCATAAGAGCTCCACGTCATCAAATAAAGACGACGGGGTGATGGTGCGGCCGAGGGGCCTGCATAAGTGCTCCACGTCGTCAAATAAAGACGATTGGGCGATGTGTGCGGCCGAGGGGCCTGCATAAGAGCTCCACGTCGTCAAATAAAGACGACGAGGCGATGGTGTGGCCGAGGGGCCTGCATAAGAGCCCCACGTCGTCAAATAAAGACGACGGTGCGATGTATGGCCGAGAGAGGCCTATATGAGAGCTCCACGTCATCAAATAAAGATGATGGGGCGACGTATGGCCGAGAGGCCTACATGAGAGCCCCACATCATCAAATAAAGATGACGGGGTGATGTATGGCCGAGAGAGGCCTATATGAGAGCTCCACGTCATCAAATAAAGATGACGGGGCGACGTATGGCCGAGAGGCCTACATGAGAGCCCCACATCATCAAATAAAGATGACGGGGTGATGTATGGCTCAGAGGCCTATATGCGAGCGCCATGTCATCAAATAAATATGACGGAGCGAGATATGGCCGATGGGCCTGTAAATGAGCTTCGCGTCATCAAATAAAGATGACGAGGCGATATATGCCCGATGGGCCTGCAACTGAGCTTCGCGTCATCAAATAAAGATGACGGAGCAAGATGTGGCTCAGAGGCCTACAAATGAGTTCCTCGTCATCAAATAAAGATGACAGAACGATATATGGCCGATGGTCCTGTAGATGAGCTCTTCGTCATTAAATAAAGATGACAGAGCGATATATGGCCGATGGGCCTACAAATGAGCTCTTCATCATCAAATAAAGATGACAGAGCGATATATGGCCGATGGGCCTGCAAATGAGCTTTGCGTCATCAAATAAAGATGACGGAGCGATATATGGCTGAACTCTGGGTTCCTTTAGCCTTTCGGCCGGAGACCGCAAGATGTTCGCTATATCTGAATAGGGGGACGAGGCGGTGGACGCCTGTCTGAATACGAGGACGACGACGCTGATGAGTCGGTCCGAATATGAGGACGACAGCGCTGACGAACCGGTCTGAATATGGGGACGATGGCGCTGGTGAGCCGGTCCGAATATGGGGACGAGGCGATGATAAGCCATGCATCATATGAAGGCGACGGTCACCATCCAGGAAGGGAATGGAGAGCCTGGTCGCTAGATAAGGACTTTGGCGCTGGGGCCGGTCTAAATGTGAGGACGAGGCGATGATGAGCCGTGCGTCATATAGGGGTGACGGTCACCATCCAGGAAGGGAATGGCGAGCCTAATCGCTATAACAAGACTTCGGCGCTGGGAGCCGGTCTTGAGATAAATAATCACGTCGCGGCCGAGAGGTTGATCACGATGTGCGGATGACAATGATGAGGAGCCAGTCCGAAATATGATGACGAGGCGATGATGGAGCCGATCGTCATATAGAGGCGATAGTCACCATCCAGGAGGGGATGGCGAGCCTGATCGCTAGCCCAACACACTCGGCGCTGATGAAGCCGGTGTTGGGATAGGGTGTGACGTCGTGGCCGAGGGGTCGATCGTGATGCGAGGTCGTCACCACTATGAGGTTGATCCAAAAGTCAAAGCAGCGGTCGCCATCCGATGAAGGAATGACTGAGACCGGTCTTGGGGATAGATAATCACGCCGAGGCCGAGGGGCCGATCGTGATGTGCGGACGGAGATGATGAGCCGATCCAATGATATGATGACGAGGCAAGAATGAAGCCAATCGTCATATAAGGGCGATGGTCACCATCCAGGAAGGGATGGCGAGCCCGATCGCTAGCTCAAGACTCTCGGCGCTGAGGAAGCCGATCTTGAGATAGATAGTCACACCGAGGCCGAGGGGCCGGTCGTGATGCGCGGATGGCGATGAAAAGAGCCAATCCGAAATATGATGACGGGGCAATGATGAGCCGGCCGTCATATAGAGGCGATGGTCACCATCCAGGAAGGGATGGTGAGCCCAGTCGCTAGCTCAAGATCGCGTTGAGACCGAGGGGTCTGCCGCGATGTGAGCATGACGGCGATGATGAGCCGTTCCAATAAATGATGACAAGGCCATGATGGGCCAATCGTCATATAAAAGCGACGGTCACCATCCAGGAAGGGATGGTGAGCCCGATCGCCAGGTCAAGACTCTCCGCGCTGAGGAAGCCGGTCTTGAGATAGATAATCACGCCGAGGCCGAGGGGCCGGGCATGATGTGAGGACGACGGTGATGAGGGGCCGGTCCAAAAGTCCATGCAACGGTCGTCATTCGGTAAAGGAATGACTAAGACCGGTCTCGAGATAAATAATCACGTCGAGGCCGACGGGGCCGGTCGTGTATGAGGACGAAGGCACTGAGGGGCCGGTCCGAAGATCCATGCAACGGTCGCCATCCGGGAAGGGATGACTAAGACCGGTTTCGAGATAAATAATCACGTCGAGGCCGAGGGGGCCGGTCGTGATATGAGGACGAAGGCACTGAGGGGCCGGTCCGAAGATCCATGCAACGGTCGCCATCCGGGAAGGGATGACTAAGACCGGTCTCGAGATTAATAATCACGTCGAGGCCGAGGGGGTCGATCGTGATATGAGGACGACGACGATGAGGAGTCGGTCAAAATAATGATGACGAGGCGATGGTGAAGCCGATCGTCATATAGAGGCGATGGTCACCATCCGGAAAGGGATGATGAGCCCGATCACCAGCTCAAGACTCTCGGCGCTGAGGAAGCCGGTCTTGAGATAGATAATCACGTCGAGGCCGAGGGGCCGGGCATGATGTGAGGACAACGGCGATGAGGAGCCGGTTCTATAATATGATGACGAGGCGGTGATGAAGCTGATCGTCATATAAAGGCGATGGTCACCATCCAGGAAGGGATGGTGAGCCCGATCGCTGGCTCAAGACTCGCGGCGCTGAGGAAGCCGGTCTTGAGATAGATAATCACGCCGAGGCCGAGGGGCCGGGCATGATGTGAGGACAACGGCGATGAGGAGCCGGTCCTATAATATGATGACGAGGCGCTGATGAAGCTGATCGTCATATAAAGGCGATGGTCACCATCCAGGAAGGGATGGTGAGCCCGATCGCTGGCTCAAGACTCGCGGCGCTGAGGAAGCCGGTCTTGAGATAGATGATCACGCCGAGGCCGATGGGCCGGTCGTGATGTGAGGACAACGACGATGAGGAGTCGGTCCAAATAATGATGACGAGGCGATGGTGAAGCTGATCGTCATATAGAGGCGATGGTCACCATCCGGGAAGGGATGATGAGCTCGATCGCCATCTCAAGACTCTCGGCGCTGAGGAAGCCGGTCTTGAGATAGATGATCACGCTGAGGCCGAGGGGCCGGTCGTGATGTGAGGACAACGACGATGAGGAGCCGGTCCTATAATACGATGACGAGGCACTGATGAAGTTGATCGTCATATAAAGGCGATGGTCACCATCCAGGAAGGGATGGTGAGCCCGATCGCTGGCTCAAAACTCGCGGCGCTGAGGAAGCCGGTCTTGAGATAGATGATCACGCCGAGGCCGAGGGGCCGGTCGTGATGTGAGGACAATGGCGATGAAGAGCCGGTCCTATAATGAGGGACGGCGTTGGGCGCTCGTCTGAGAAATGATGGACGGCGCTGGGAGCTCGTCTGAGATGATGGACGGCGCTGGGCGCTCGTCTGAGATGATGGACGGCGCTGGGCGCTCGTCTGAGATGATGGACGGCGCTGGGCGCTCGTCTGAGATGATGGACGACGCTGGGCGCTCGTCTGAGATGATGGACGACGCTGGGCGCTCGTCTGAAAATGAAGGACGGCGCTGGGCGCTCGTCTAAGAATGAAGGACGGCGTTGGGCGCTCGTCTAAGATGAGGGGCGGCGCTGGGCGCTCGTCTAAGATGATGGACGGCGCTGGGCGCTCGTCTGAGATGATGGACGGCGCTGGGCGCTCGTCTGAGATGATGGACGGCGCTGGGCGCTCGTCTGAGATGATGGACGGCGCTGGGCGCTCGTATGAAAATGAGGGACGGCGCTGGGCGCTCGTCTGAAAATGATGGACGGCGCTGGGCGCTCGTCTAAAAAATGAGGGACGGCGTTGGGCGTTCATCTAAGAATGAAGGACGGCGCTGGGCGCTCGTCTGAAAATGAGGGACAGCGCTGGGCGCTCGTCTGAAAATGATGGACGGCGCTGGGCGCTCGTCTAAAAAATGAGGGACGGCGCTGGGCGCTCGTCTACAAATGGAGGACGGCGCTAGGCGCTCATCTAAGATGAGGGACGGCGCTGAGCGCTCGTCTAATCCGCATGTATGGTCTTGCTTCGTCCATAATGTGTAGTATTTGCCTGATATGTACTTAGTATTGTTGTGGGGATTTCATTTTTTGTTGCTCGAGGCCGGCAAGTGCGCGCGGTCCTCAGCTTCCCTCTTTTATTTTCCCTTTTTCCTTTCCTCTTTTTTTTTTTTATTTCCGTTTCCGTTCCCTATTTCGGGGAGTATCCTTCTTTCAGGCTTTGGCCGAAGGGTGTGCTCGTCCTTCGGCCGGTTCGGACTTCGTTTATAACATCCGTGATCTCAGGGGGTCCCGTCGCCTATTTATGACGCGGGCTAGACTTTTGGTTGGTTTCCAACGGCTGCCGTTGCCCAACCCTGAGTGGGGGGATTCTGCCACCTCGGCCATGATTTCAGGTCTGTCGTCCTGCGATCTGGCGCGTGGACGACGCGGTGAACTTCCCATTTCAAGACGCGGGCCGTTTGTGGGCCCATCGTCCTGGGGACATCGTCGGCCATACCTGAGTGTTTCACTCTAGGCTTATGGGGCCAGGACGATGTGCTCTCTCAGCTAGGCCTGAGTCCTTCGCTGATACAAAATACAATGGAGTAGACCTGAGCCTTTCGCTCGAAGGCTGCCGATACGACACGTGGTATCTTCTATTTACATTTCCAAAAAATAAGCGGAATACAATAGGTGCGTTGTTCATGGCAACGGCTTTTGGGCGACGCGATTAGCGTCTCGGAGAACGAGGTGTACCGTTTACCGCTCTCGGGCATAATGCCATGTGCGGGCGGTAGCGGCTCTCATTTTCAGATGCTCGAGTCACCAAATAAAGGTGACTAGGGTAGGTCGATGGACCTAAATATAATTCAAATCATCAAATAAAGATGTTCAGTAGACTAGAGCTCGGGTCCACCACTTTGGGGTTTTTTGACCCGCTCTAATGACGATGATAAAAATAGTAATGCCAATAATAATGCATCATTAGCGACCTCGGGAAATTTTAATCCCTCATAATGGTCTTCACCACCTCGGGGGTTTTTAACCCGCCATAATGGTGGTGGAAATAATATAATTAATAATAGACGCTATTTACGGGTCTTTTCACGGATGACTCGCCCCTTGAGATTGAAGTTTGATGCTATATTATTAAAATATTTCATTTACGATTTTTTTGTAAATCATCTTATCAAATGTGTCCATATATTAATTGTATGAAGATAGTTTAAGAGTACTTAGCTTTTTATTTGGGCTGAAATGGAGTGTTTTACTGGCGGCCTTTTGAAAAAATTGATTGCGCCATGAATCTTGTCCCATTGGAGTTTGACCTGGCCCCCCATTGCCTCCATCCATCTGATGAAGGACTAAAGCACTGGTTCGTGAAGCAGCCAAGACCTCGGGTTTTAGGAGTTGGGGGGTAGCGTCGCTGGACCTAGCTAGTTAGCTTGAGCCATACTTCCTCACGAGCCGCTACCATCAAGTGACGTTGGCGCAAGGGAGGTGACGGAGCAACTAGGAGAGAGGCAGACAGAGATGTGTTGGAGATGGCCCATACCAGGAAGGGCCCTCGGGGGTAGCGGTGGTGGCAAGGTGTTAGCTGTAACGTCGAAATCCCTTTTCTCCTCACCGGAACAGATCTGGATAGCTCCTTCCTTTCTAATATTTGCTGAAGATGGCGCGTGGCTAGGCCTGTGACCTTCAGCAGGCAGTCAGCTTCCGCTGTAGCGCGTGATAGCGGGCGTACCGGCGATGATGTCTCCGGTCAGCGGCCATCTTCCGCAATGGCACGTGACGGCGGCCGGAGTGACGATAAAGCCTCCTGGGAACAGCGTGCAAACTTCCACTGGTGTGGCGAGCTTCAGCACATGGCGTAGGGCGATGCCATGGACGGCGGCGACATAGGTGGCTTCGGCTCGGATCTAGGAAATCTTAGATTTGGATTTTCCAGATCTCTTTCTTTGCTTTTTCTTCTTTGGGGGCATCCGGTGTACTCTTTTTCAACAAATTATCATAGACTAACGAAATATATTAAATCAGTGTTATTAGCGACATATTTAATCCATTATTAAAATGTTACAAAATACAATTAATAATCTATTGATGTCATATTCAATATTGAACGATAATAACTATTATTATTATATTTAAGCATTTAAACATGCCACATAATAAAAAATAACACATACTCCTAAAAAGAACTTGAACAATATAGATATAATTAAATCAATAGTGATCTCTAACAAAAATAAATAAAATTATTCAAACAACATGTAAATAAAATCATTTATTCCTAATATGATACTGTGTATTTAGTCATTTTTATAATTTAACAAAACTACTTGAATAAGACTTTCAGGCAAAGTTGTGTGTCTTAACTCGTGGGATCCCTATGTAGATACACTCGTCACATAAGTGTATTCCTGATTCCTCTTCATTCGTCAGCTATTCAACGACTCAGTTATTGCGACTCTCAAGCTCTTGGAACAAGATGAACTTGTTTATGGACATTAGTACATTACTCATTAGTCATAAGGGTCAGTTTGTTTGAATGTTACTTAGTAGAAGAAGCCTAAAAGGTTATAGTGAGTTTGGAAAATTGGACCTTTATTTTTGTATTCACGTATTTGTAACCAACGTAAGTACTAATTTTGGGCTTCAAATTTGTAATGTACTTTTACAATATTTTAGAATTAAAAGTAATTGTTGGGTAGCGAGTCGGTACAGTATTATATCGGCAGTGGCAGACCCACTAAGGGTCCCACGGGGTCCCGGGACCCCATTTAATGACTTTGTATTGTTTTTGAAATTTTTTTAAAATGATTTGATATTTTAAGATGATTAGCTTTCTAAGCTTTTAAGTATTTATAATTGTTTTCACTTTATTGATTTTAAAAATCTAGAATTTCAAACTTTTCCTTTAAAGTTTTTATATTGACCTTTATTTACAATCTTTATGTTTATTTTTTATATTTTTTATACATTTATAATATCTTACATATTATATTTTTTTTCTGAAATTTATATAAGTTTCGCCATATTCTATAATTTTATATTTTATATTCTTTAATTCCATAAACTACCTTAAAAATTAATTATAGTTCATATAATTATCTATGATATTGATTCACCATTTTTTATTTTTTTATGGACAATTTCAATTACTTTTTTGATAAGACCATAGCTCGGATTCTAATAATAATATATTTATTTTTTTATTGATTGAACACGAAACCAGTCACATGAGACTATTATTGATGGAAGTTCCCTAAAATTGGTCTGTGAGTATTCTACGATGATCTATAATTGAGATTATTATTAGAATGAATTTTTCTTATTATAAACTGAAGACAATACTTAGAGATCATTGCTATCAATTTTTTCTAGAGTTAATTATCAAAATAGGACTAAAAGTCATTCACTTTTCACAAATAGGACCAAAAAATGAACTATGTTTGCATATGACTCATTATGTGTACCTTGGACAATTATACCCTTATAGCTATTAAAATGTTTTAATTCCTGATAAAATAATAAAAAATAATAAAAATTCGTAAAAAATACTAAAAAATTAAGAAAAACATTTCGATATTAAAAATTTATTTATTTATTTTTTCAAAAATTGAAAAATTTTAAAAAAAAATTAAAAAAAATAAAAACTCAAAAAAAATATCGTCGTCGCCTCTGCCGCCTCAGCACCACCACCTCCAGTCACCAGGGAAAAAAATGCCAAGTTCATTACGAATGGCATATTTATGGCAGAAAAAAATGAAAATGTTGGCATTCGAAAAGAAAAATATGCCACTTTTTTGGCATTTTCAGAAAAAATGGCATTTTTCTGGGAAAATGGCATTTTTTTCATCGGCCGGAGGTGGTGGTGCTGGGAGGTAGTACAGGCGGTGGGAAAGGCATCCATATTTTTTTAAATTTTTTTTACGGAGTTTTACTATTTTTTATTAATTTTTTTAAAAATAAAATTATTTAAAAAAAAAGTTTTTGAATTCTTTATTTTATAAAAATTTTATAAATTTTTTAATTATATTTCTACGAATTTTTGAATTTTTTTCGAATTTATTATGAATTAAACATTTAATTATGACTTTTGACTATTTTTAATTCATATTTAATGGAAGGGTAAGAATGGAATGCAAAAATAGGTATGTTTCCAATATGACTCATATGGTCCTATTTTGGAATAAAAACATAGCAAGTTCTATTTTAGGTTTTTGCCATAGTTTTAGTCCTATTTGAACTAATTTCAATTTTTTCTAATATCTATAATCTTTTCTAATCAATTAATAATGTTTGTTTAAACCCACTATTATAATTTTATTACTCCAACTACTTACAACAATTAACCTGACAATTTAAAAAGTCAAGTACCTTATAATTTGATGATGTAAGTGGAACACTTCTAAGGACGTGGTCACATGATCGAAACTATTCTAATCAAAGATGTTTACATCTAACAAGAATATGGCAAATACATGCGTTTTCATTTACATGTTTTTCAACATTAAAAAGGCAACATTTACTAAAAAATCTAGTCTTTTGAATTTGTCAAGCAAAATACAGTCCTAACCGAAAGATATAAATGATACAAAATGTGTTAAAATATTACTCCCTTAAACTTATTTAATTCTTCTCGATTTGATTTGGATCTCATTTGAGTAAGAAACAATTAAAAAACAAAATTTCTACGCAAAGAAATGAGAAGATTTTATGGGACATTGCAAAAAAATAAGCATGAACAGTTTTATGGGACATAAAGAGTAACCTTTAAATTTGAGGATGAACATGTTTTTAAAGCCCTATGAAAAAATAAAAACGTAATTAAATTGTCGATCATACATTCATACTACCGTGTAATTAACAACAACCATAGAATAAGGCAATTGAGGGATGAAATTGTAATTTAACGCTCCCCTTGAAACATTTTTGTTTGGATTTGTTTCTGCTCAGAGCTCCAAGTCTCCAAATCTGCGATCTGTTTCCAATCGCTCACCAGAGTAACAATGGCAGCAGCAGGACCGGACCCGTTATTTTCACTGAGAAACAATTTTTACTTGGGGGCATATCAAGCCGCCATCAACAACAGCGAGGTCCCGAATCTCTCACCGGAAGACGCCATTGAGAGGGACGCTCTCGTCTTCAGATCTTACATTGCCCTCGGCAGCTACCCGCTAGTTATTAACGAGATCGACGACTCAGCTGCTACACCTCTCCAAGCCGTCAAATTGCTAGCTATTTATCTCTCCGGTCCCGACAAGAAGGTTGTTTCGATCCCCCCTCCACACCTACCCACACACACGCATACGTTGATTCGAGCTCGATCGCTTTCTTCGTTGTGGATCCGCATGGGAAATTTAAAATTTAGGTTTAACTTATGTGGTGCAGTTCGACTTGGTTAATATCCTTTCAAATTCGTCGTGTTTTTGCCCCAAATCGATGCCTATATCTCTGTAATTTCATTTTAAGATCTTATTCTATGTAATCTAACGAAATTTAAGGTCTCTGTTCTTTTGTAATTATATTATTGTTCAAATGGGAGGCCACTTTAAGTTAAATAGGATCTCATTTTTACATATTAAGAAAAAACTAAGCTTTTCTAATGTTATGTAGTAATTCAAATTTGTACTAGAAGGATTTCGCCCATCTTATTCTGAAGGTGCAAGTCACCAGTATGATAACATAGTACTGTTCCTTTTTTATTAATTTGGCTAAATGCATAGTTTAGAAGTGCCTAATCTGATTTTCTTACCCTGCTTATCAACCTCTGATTGCTATGTACTCAATAGAGCAAGGGCATTATTCTCAGCTTGTTGTAGTGGGGTAGAGCAAGATCCATAGTTTTTATTCGTTATTATCATAGCCAAACAAAGTTCTCTTTGTTCTAATAACCATTTATAAATCTCTTATAATTTCAACCATATTGGATGCAGAGGCCATGTACATTTTTTTAAATCACTGTCTTCTTTTGTTGTGTAGGAAGTTGTGATTTCAAGTCTTCATGAGTTGTTAGGAGATCCGGCTGTTGGAAACAATCCTGTCTTACGGCTCATTGCTGGGATTATTTTCTTGCATGAGCAGGATTACAATGAAGCTTTGAAGCATACAAATGCCGGAGGAACTATGGAATTGTGAGTCTTTATTTGCACTTTCTTGCATATCCTTTTATTGTAGGGATGCATGACCTGAACCAGGTTACCTACACTGCATGTAGTAGAAGTTTAGTGTATGTAACATTGTAGCCATCATTTTGGGAATCAGCTTCCAGACTCAATACGTTTGCTGCTTCTGTAGGCATGCTTTGAATGTCCAGATCTTTATTAAGCTGCATAGATCAGATTATGCAGAGAAGCAACTGAGGATCATGCAGCAAGTTGATGAAGACCATACATTGACCCAACTTGCAAATGCATGGTTAAACTTGGCTGTGGTACTTCTTACTTACTTGCCACTGCTGTCTTGATAAATAAAGAAGGCCCAATTAGTGTGCTGATTTTCTTTCTTCATTTAATCAGGGTGGATCGAAGATACAAGAAGCATATCTTATCTACCAAGATTTCTCTGAGAAGTATCCTATGACCAGCTTGGTATTGAATGGCAAGGCTGTTTGCTGCATGCATATGGGAAACTTTGATGAGGCCGAGACATTATTGGTTGAAGCCTTAAACAAGGTGATTTTTGTATTGTTGCTTGCCATAAGCCTTTAAGAGTTACATTATTATTTCTCTCTGTCCTATGTGGTTTTGATCAAACTCAAAAAGCATGTTGATTTTATCTTTGGTTTAGAAATGTCTACTAGTCTATTCAGTGGTGGAACTAGAAAATTATTTTAGGAGGGCACCAGTACTTTACTCCGGGGAAAAGTAGTGAAAACAAAACTAATTAGTTCAACTATTATAATTTAATACATAGTCATTACATTCATCTTAATATTATACATTAATACACACTAAATCATTAACTTTTTTATACTACATATTTTTCAAATAAGATTTATGAATTGTAAAAATTCAACAATCAAATACATAAAAATAATTTTATTAAGAAAGGCAAAAATAGAAAAACCTACCGGACGGGC